CTCTGCACAGCGCTCGGCAGGGCGCCGCGTCGGGTGTTCCCTAGGCTTCGGAGGTGGTGGGCGACCGCCTGGGCCTTGGCTGTCCACGTCTCGACATGTGTCTTGAATGTCAACTTCCTGTCCAGCCAGAGGCCTAGCCAGCGCATGGCTGCCTCTGGTTGCTTCTCCGCGTCACCATGGCGGACAGGTGGCTCGGTTTCCCGCCTCCTCGGTGAGAAGTGCATGACTTCTGTCTTCTTCGGGTCGAATGAAATGCCGTTGGCGGCGCCCCAGTTCACGAGTTCTTGGAGATATTCCGACGCNGGATTGCCTAGCCGATAGATCGGTTCCGTGTAGAGCAAAAACAAGATCGGAGACACGGGCGATCCCTGTGGAAGACCGCACTGCAATGGCGTCGTCGGTGTCGTGATGTCTTGGTACCTGACTCTGGCGGAGCGGCCGCTCATGAACGAGCCTGCCCACCGCGCAAGATTGTCGGGCCAGCCTTGCTCACGGAGCCTCAGGACAAGCCTGTTGCACATGGTTGTGTCGAAAGCTCCCTGAATGTCTGCGGTGACCAGTGTGGCCACCTCTCCGCGTGCGAATGCCTCTTCGATATCATGAATCAGCGCGGCGACTAGGTCGACGGCCGACCGTTTCGGGAGCGCGCCGGCTTGCTGTGGGTGGAGGACTGCATAATGAATCGATGCCCACGCTAGGCGGCGGGCGATCAGCCGCTCGAGGCCCTTCCCAAGACAGGAGAGCAGAGAAATAGGGCGCCAAGCCCTGGGGCACGACAGATTTCTCTTTCCCGGCTTGGGGATCATGACCACTTCTGCTTCTCGAAATGCTCTCGGGTGATGGCCAACCGATAGGCATCCTTGGTAGAGGCGACAAACGTGTCCTCCAATGATGTCCCATACTGCTTGTAGTAGCTTGACCGTGATGTTGTCGGCTCCAGGCGAGGTGTTGCCCGTCGTGATCGTAGCGTCCTCTGCTTCTTCCAGCGTGACTTCTTGGGCGAAAGGTATCTTCCGGATTGGGTGGACCGGGATCCAGGGGTCAGTAATGTCATCCGCTGCCGTGCGGCGTTCAAGAGTGCTGCGTCTCAGCGCATTCGCTTTATCCAGCTGGGTTTCGTATACATCGTCGCCAATTTGAAGCGGTGGAGGCTGGAAGGCTCCTGGTGATTTGAGCCACCGGACTGCCTTGTAGACCGATGCGCTATCCGAGAAGCCGTCGATGAGGTTGCGCCAATACTGCCGTTTGGCGCGGCGGACCACACGCTGGAACTCTCTTCTAGCTAGTTGGACTTCCTGGCTGAATCCCAAAGGGAGAATTCTTCGTATGGCGCGGTATCCCGCGGCGGCTTCGGCGCACTCGTCGGACCACCACGGCGCACTTCGCGTTCCTTTCCGCACGGGGCGACCGGCAGCTCTGGCAGCCGACTGGAGGAGGTCAACAAGCGCCGCGGCAAGTGTGTCAAGCTGCGAGGCTGTTGCCGTGTCCATTGGTATTCGACAAGTTCCGGCGGCAACGAGTTCCTTGAAGCGTTTCAGCTCCTCTTCAGTCGTTACCCGCACTTTGCCCGGCACCTGTGGGAGGTTCAGGCTAACATCAGGAAGTATGACACTTAGAGTGAAGTGGTCAGAGCTCGTGGCGAGATGGTCTTCTACAACCGCGGATGCCAAAGCAATGTTGGAGAAAGCCAAGTCAATTGTGTTGCCATGCGGGTTTGTTGGCACGTCCGCTGTATTCAAGAGAGTCAGGCCGTTTTCCGCTGCCCAGGTAGCAATGTCCTCTCCACGACCCTCCAGTCGTCCGGTTTGCCAGGAGTAATGCTTAGCATTGAAGTCACCAGCTACAAGGGTCCTTTCTGGCGCCGACCACCGCAGCAGGGCGTCCAGGGAGACGTCATAGTGCGGTTGGCGATAGAAGTTGACGATAGTGACGCCGTTCACCGTAAGCCACAGGATGTCTCGGGTGAGTGTCGGTCGTTTCTGGTCTGCGAGAATGCGCGAGTCCTTACGGATGTATGTCATGACCCTCGGCCGCGTGTCATTGCTGTCCCAGCTGTCTACGGGCGAGTAGGTGTCGTAGGCTGGGTGAGTCTTGGTGAGGCATCTTGAGTTCTTTGCCTCTGTCCAGGGTTCTTGGAGAAGGACGATGTCATATTTTTCGGAGTCAGCCAGTGCCAGGGCGCAATCGTGGGCCGGCGGGATCTTGCCCACATTCGCTTGGAAGACCTTCAGCGTCTTCCTTTCGGAATTGTGAATCCTGGGCCGCCGACTCATGGAGAGGACGGGTTGGTATTAGCACGGCGCCGCTTGGGTGATGTCGGCAGAGGGCGTCTCGGCGCCGTTTCCGGTCCGAGTTCCACGGCCCTGGGGCGCATCGGGGACGATGACGGTAGAACTGGTAGGGTGCAGGTGAAGAAATTGGTCAGGGCTTGGGGGTTGACGTGTTCCTGAGGCACCTCCATGACTGCCACTGGAGCACGTTGCTGTTCTGCGACGGTCTCTGCTGCTGGCTGGCCGCTAGGTTCCGTCTGAGACTGCTGTCGCTGCTGTGCAGCCTGGTGTTGTTGAAAAAGGCGGGATCCCATCTGTCTGATTAATGCTCGTTGTTCTTTGGGGAGACGATGAAGCAGGCCATGGGCTCTTTTTGGCCGAGCCGGGCATGCCGCAAGGTCCACGGCATGTGGTCCGAGGCAGTTGGCACACTGCTCGGGGGCAGTACAGCTGTCACTGGCGTGGTTTGTCTTCCCGCAGCGTTTGCATCGTGTTTGTCTGTTGCACGCATGTCGTGTGTGGTAGTCCCAGCAGTTCTCGCACTGCCTGGGAGGGTTGTTTCTTTCGATGTGTCTGGCTAATCGGCTGGTGCCGAATAGGCTCCAAAGTCTTTTTGTCGGCTCAAGGAAGGAGATGATGAGTGTCTTGTAGGGAAGCTGTTCGTTGTCGCGGCGAGGGACTCGGATGCTGACCGGCGTGAGTCCCGTCTGGTTGTTTATTTCGTCACGGACTGAAGCATCGTAGTTCAGTTCGTTTCCGTAAAGGTCGGTAAGTCTTCGGGGGCAGTTGTCTACGGCATAGGTGTACCATCTTTGGCTCGTCTCAACGGCAGTTGCCCCGAGATCATTGGCCCAGTCAGCTTGGCGTTCTACAAGGAGATCGCGGGTGAGTTTGTCTGCGGCACGGATGGCCCATCCGGTGTTCACTTGGAAGACTTGCGGGATTCGATTGAGCTCAAGGCCCGTCTTGCTGGCTACATGAGCTCGGATGGCGTAGCCGATGTGGTTTCTGGCCGGAGCGTCGGCTTCAAGGCGGACGAAGACCCGGAGGTCTTCTCGAGGTGGGGCGGGCACTGGTGGTCGTTGCCCTTGGCGATAAGCGGTAGCAGGTTTTTGTGGTGGGTGGTGGGCGGTGTTCGGGGTGGCAGACCGAGTCGAAGGGGCAGTGGCATTCGCGGCAATGCTGCTGTAGGTT